AAATAGCAAGACAGGGTTTGGACAACACAACAACCATCCTGACAAGAAACCACCTTGGTTTTTTGTGTCATGTGAACCCACCCACAGTCTTAAGTTTACATGTTCTCTTGTGAAACTGTTTATACTGTGGCAACATTCCACAGTCAGGCTTGGGTCTGTCCTGTCACAAGCATATAAGGCAGAGATGGGGCTACTGGTGGATCTAGGCCTGCATCAAATGTCCAAAAGTCCAAAATTGTGTGGGCAATGAGTTCAGAGTTCTGGCAAGAACGGTCTGATCCTCTTCCAGCAGTCTACTGAGTAGAGAGGAAGAGTGAGGAAAGGAAAGGGGTGTGTGGAAGGAAGGAAGGAAGGAAGGAAGGAAGGAAGGAAGGAAGGAAGGAAGGAAGGAAGGAAGGAAGGAAGTCACTCACAGCCCCTGACAAATTGCCCCTGATAAAGGCTTCCACAGTTGCTAGAGATTCACCACAAGGTTTACCAAATCTCCAATTCTAGGTTTCCTTAGCATCAGCTCTCAAGTAGCACTTGTCCTTCAGGATCAGGTTTTCCTGCATAGCCCACGGAATGCCGGAAAGTTCCTTCCCCAGCCAGAAAACACTGAGACAACTTCTCAGATGGCCCAACAGCAAGCCTTGTGGCCTAAACCTTTTCCAAAGTCCTACCAGGTCCACCGCGGGTTTTCTCCTGCGTTGGAAGGAACTCCCCCTTCTGTGATCTCATGACAATTGCTCTCCTGTGGTATGTGCCTTCTCTCCTGACATTCCAGCTTATAGGATGTACTTTCATTTCATGCTAGACTCCCAAGGGTCTCTATCCACACTCAACTGCAGAAGACATAAACCCAGAGCCGAGTACATATTTAGGCCACAGTCCTCCTGCACAAGAATCCATTCCTGGTTACACCACAAGCTTTTCTCATCTCCACAGATTCCTTGTTTGTTGAGGGAGAGCTGCTTTGTTGTTGCTATTGCTACAGTTGAACAACCAGGAGAAAGAAACCCTGAGTGACCTATGGGACATCACCCAGAGGTCTACCAGTACCTCTAGAGTTACTTTCTGCCCATCCCGGCCTTCTACCACTGACAATTTCCCCACTGTCGGCATTTACGCATAATTTTTTTTCTTCCTTTGCACTGAGGCTTGAGCCCTTTCGAGATCCCGAGCGTCTGTAGGGCTTAACTCCTGTGTGAACACGCTCGTGGGTCATCAAGCCTGACTTTTGACAGAAGCTTTTCCCGCAGCGTGTGCACCGATAGGGTTTCACTCCTGTGTGGATTCGCTCGTGGGTGATGAGATTTGAGCCGTCGGTGAAACTTTTCTGACACACTGAGCACTGATACGGTTTGACTCCGGTGTGAATCCGCTCGTGCACTCGCAGATCTGCAGAGGTGCGGAAGTTTTTCCCGCAATCAGAGCATTTGTAGGGCTTCTCACCCAGGTGGATCTTTTCATGTGTGGTAAGAGTGCCTTTCTGACGGAAATTCTTCCCACACACTGAGCATTTGAAAGGTTTCTCTCCGATGTGGATTTTCTCGTGTGTTGTAAGGGTTCCCTTCTGGCGGAAGCTTTTCCCACAGTATGTGCACCGATATGGTTTTTCCCCAGTGTGGATTCTCTCATGAGCTAGCAGGTTTGAGCTACTAGTGAAACTCTTCTGACACATGGAGCAGCGAAAGGGGACCTCTCCGGTGTGAATGCCCTCATGGGCCTTTAGTTGTGCAGACTTCCGGAAGCTGATCCCACATTCTGAACACTTGTATGGCTTCTCACCAGTGTGAATCCTCTCATGGACCCGGAAATTGGAGCTCCATCGGAAGCTTTTCCCACAGTGACAGTGATGGATTTTTTGGGTGGCCGGGGTCTCATCCTGATCAGAATGGCCTTTACCAACTGAATTGCCTTTCAGTTCATCTGCACACCTTCTTTTTGGGGCTCTCCACTCACTCCCCAGGTCCTCCTGACCACCAAGCCTCGGTTCCTCCTTGCAATTCTGGGATGCGGTTTCCCTTTGCGGCACCTCAGAATCACCCCAAGGAAGGTCATCTCTCGAGTGCACGTGCATCTGCCCATCGCCTGCGGGAATAAACAGGGTCACTTGGCCAACTTTTCCAAACAGTTTCATATCAAAGACATGAAACAAGAGGGAACTCAGGAGGAACTTGTGAATGAACCACATCGCTGTGAACAACAAGGAAGCCCGTTTACTGTGGCCATGCTGGGATTGGCTTCCAGTCCCAGAACAGAAGGCTGCACACAAGTCCTTTCTCACGGCTATCCTCTCATGTGTCCACCCCGCCGCCCCGCCCCCCATACAGCTCCCCTGATTTTTTGGTAGCCCAGTGGCGCAGGGAAAGGTCCCCAGGGCTGGAGGGGGCATGGCTGAGCACCTGCTAGGGGCCCACAGCCGGAAGGGCCCCGGAGACAACCGGCCCTGTTCTTCACCTTCGCTGCTGCAACCTGCTTCCTCACCTGCCCCTCCCTCAGGTGCAGGCAAGAGTGGCGGCCGTGAGAAGCAGCAGCGGTGACTTTCGCTGACTGTTAGATTTTGTAGCCTTTTAATGGATTTTATGTTCTTGTTTTACTTGTTCTTAATTATTTTAATTGTTCTGCTGTTTTTACTGTTGTTTTACTGTTGTTTTATTATAGATTCATTGTAAGCCGTCCAAGCCGATTATTGCAAGACAGCCTTTGAGCTATGAGACAGCACATAAATGTAATAAATAAATAGGTGCCTTTATTTTGTGGTTGTTAAACCTTTGGCAAAACTACTGCAAACAACCTCAAGATCTACCTGCCTTCAGTCCTGCTTCTCATCATCTCTAAGGCTTCAAACATCTTACCAAGAGGAAGAAAGAACAAAACCCAATGAAAAAGCTCTTGGAAATAATCGAACAAAATAGCCTCAGACAAGCAAACTGGATTGCCCACACCAAGCTACAGCTTACTGGCTAGAAATGCAGGAAGTATCTGGCTCTTTTCAGGAGGAACTGGATACTTTAATCCACTTTTAGCTGAATGAGGATGCCCCTCATTTTATGAGTTCTCACTTTTAAATGCCACGTACTTTTGGTTTGTTGGAATACAAAGCGGTTAATCACACGTCATCAAATGACTTAAACATTAACAGCAGGTCATCATAAATTAGCATTAAAAATTGTTGTATAATAATAAAAAGGAAAGTCAGGTCCTGAATGCTGAGGTTTAAGTTACTGCCGGCTTTGCATTTACCCACCGTCCCTTGTGTTAGTGTCCATCCCACAATGGCCTTACCCACTAGTCCTAGCGCTCCAAAACTCAGTGCCCCCCGGGAAATGGAAATTCCAGAAGGCCCAGAATCCTCCAGTGTCAGTGTTCCTGTGGGGCTTTGTGGGAAACTTAATTAGAGAACACACTGCATTAACTTCATTGAACATGGGTATTCTGAAGAATCAGACTTCTGAGAATAAGCTTCTGAGAGACAAAGGATACAGATGTATAATTTTGTTTCAATCTCCAAATTACTTGAAAACACCCTGTTTGCAATCCCAAACCCCTAGAAGAATGCAAATATTTGCAAATTCCCAAACTTTTCAAAATGTATAACTTCTGGGGAAAAAAACAAAGCTTTTACCATTCAAACAAATTGAAAAACAGGATAGAAACCTGAACATTACTGAACCAAAACAAGCTTTGAAAGAAAGCCTGGAAAATTTCAGCAAGCACAAACATTCCAGGCTTTCTCACCCCTTACAAAGAACGGACAAAGAACTTGCAAAGACAGAACTCCATCACCTGGCCGGCGTACTGGACACTTTCATGCTGCATCATGTCCTACTTTTAAAATTTCATGCATGAAGTTAGCATGGCTGTACAAAAGCTAAGGTGGTTGATATGAAGCCCTTCAAAAGAAGGGCCTTTTCTGCTTGTTGTTGTTAGTCACGAAGTCGTGTCCGACCCATCGCAACCCCATGGACAACATTCCTCCAGACCTTCCTGCCCTCCACCATCCCCCGGAGTCCACCCAAGCTCACACCGACTGCTTCAGTGACTCCATCCAGCCACCTCATCCTCTGCCGTCCCCTTCTTCTTTTGCCATCTATTGTTCCCAGCATTAGGTTGAAATTTTTTTTGGGAGTCCTTCCTTCTCATTAGGTGGCCAAAGGATTTGAGTTTCATCTTCAGTATCTGGCCTTCTAAAGAGCAGTCAGGGTCGATCTCCTCTAGGACTGAGCGGTTTGATCGCCTTGCAGTCCAATTTACCCAGTTTTTAAATTGTTAAATGGCATTTTAATTATTTAACATCAAGTACTGGCACTAAGGGACTGCAGGTGGTGCAGTGGTTTATACCACTGTGCTGGTTGATCGAAAGGTCGCCGGTTCGAATCTACACAACGGGGTGAGTTCCTGTTGCTCCGTCCCAGCTCCTGCCAACCTTGCAGTTTGAAATCATGCAAATGCAAGTAGATAAAAAGGTACCCCTTCGGTGGGAAGGTAACAGCGTTGCGTGCACTTCGGTATTTAGTCATGCCGGCCACACGACCACGGAGACCGTCTGCAGACAAACGCTGGCTCCCTCGGCTAGGAAACGGAGAGGAGCACCAGCCCCTAGAGTCAGGCATGACTGGACTTAATGTCAAAGGGAAACCTTTACCTTTACCTTTTACTGGCACTACGGAGTTTTTAATCACTTTATTGTTGGGAATTGCTTTTAAAATGTTGATTTTTAATGAATGATGGTAAAGAAAAACTTTAAGTGAATGAATAAATATTTTATAGCCCCTGAAGAAGACACAGAAATATGCCATTGCACTGAAATGCACTGGACAACTTTGAAAACTAAACCTTTCATCTCCTTCCTCCTGAGATTTGCTCTCTTTTTTTTCTGTTGTGTGTCTGATTATGTCAGAAAGGGAAAGATGGGGAAATAAGCCACATGTGACATGGCTGAGAAGAACGGCCTGTTTTTCAGTGGCCAAACCGGAAAAGGGAATTGCTAAAAGGCTGGGTCTTTCCAAGTGCCATCACATCTTGCCCGAGAGATGCTGCTCATCTTTACCCAATGTGCTTGGCTCGTCATCTCGCTCCCGCTTGGGCTCTGTGCTTAGCTGGGTTTGCCAGGCCTCGGGTGGCATCTGATGGCCTCCCCTGGAAGGATTCACAGGCGCTGTCACCCCTAAAGCCCACGGACTCTGGAACGGCAATGAGAAAACCATTCAGGACCCACAATGTAGAGTGTCCCCCTCAACAGGGGATTCACTGCTCACTGCAGCTTGTCAGTGCCCTCCCCGCAACCCCCCTACAAATGCACACACGGGCGGCCAGGCGGACCGACCTCCGGATTCCCCTCCCCTGGCTGGGCTCCTTGAAGCACCCCAGAGCAGCATCATTGCTCCAAACTGCTGCTGTCCAGTGCTGGGGTAGCCAGGTGTCCTGCGTGGTAAAGGACAGTTCTCTGTTTTGGAGAGCCAACAGAGAGCAGCCCTTCCTGCAAAGGCATCCTCTGCTGGATGGGCTGTTCCGCCCTAGTCTGGTTTCAAGTCAAGGGAGGGGGGCAGACTGGGGGCTTGAAGTTGCCCGTCCACCATGAGCATGGACTGAGCGAGCTGATCCAGGTCAACTAGTTCGCGTTCTCCACCACAGCGATGTTACTTGTATTTTTATTTAAATATTAGTGAACATTTCCAAATTAGCACGGAGATATATAAATTTGCTCAGGCAGATGTTCTGCAAATGCTGTCCTTTTTTCTTTCAGTGATGCATTGTCTCCTTTTTTGGTGATGCCTTAAATGGCTTCCTTACCATCTGTTCCCTGGCCCATTGCTCCAAGTCCTCCCATCATACATCCTTCAAAGGTTGCTGACTGGGATTCTGACACAGCAATGGAGGAGGGGCTGAAATTCTCAGCTGATTTACCAAGGCCAGGAGACCCAGTGATAAGTAAGGTAATCTCCGCAAATTAGACAGCTTCTAACTCTGTAGGAAATTTAACAAGCTGATGTGGGCGGGGATAGTCCTAACACCATTAATCTGTGCCAGCTTTAGAGGGCAGACCAGGTGGGTCTCATGTCCCAGGCAATTGACCCATAAGCACCAGGATACACCTCCTTGAAGGGGAAGCCAGCACTTTTTGGCATGGAAGGGAGGAGAGGCATTCTGTTTTGAATCAACTTCCTATGTTCAGCCACATTTCCCTAAGGGATGGTGTTCTAACTGGGTGGTTTCCTTTGTTACTGACTTCTGCAATTCCCTTCTTTTGCATCACAAAACAAGCCTAAATGGTCAACTTTAACATTATGAAGACCTAAGAAATTCTTTGTCCAGATCTGCTTGAAAGGAGAACACTGGAGAAGACTAGCCAGTGCAAGCAGCTGTTGCCGAATTGGTCCCAAACAAGGCAGACTCCAGTGGCCTTTGAAATCCCCACAATCCCCTTGAGGTTGTGTCACACAGGGGCATGATGGGAAATTAAAGTGGCAACCCTCAGTCACACAACACTTCCACTCCTTGCCATCCGGTGCCAGGTGAGAGCCCGCTAGAGGGCTTTTTGGCCGGGGCTCCCTCACACAAGGAGCCAGCTGCCACCCCGAACAGTAATTTGTGGGGAGCTTTGTGTCAACACTGAGCCCCTAACTCAGGAGAAAAGGAGGAGCGGCCCCAATTTGGAAACTGTGGGAGAAACAGCTTCACTCAGCTGCCCTGAAAAGGCTTTCTTCATTAATTAAACCCAATCTCTTTTGGGATAATTCCTTTACGTGGGTGTTGTGTTTTACATTCTACATAAATGGGCTACAGAACGATATTGCCCTGAAGAGAATTATTTTTTCTTTTTCTTTTAATTAATACCTTGTAGCGCATCTTCACAGAGGCGCTTCTTACCAGACGTGATTTTCCCATGCCCCGGCAGATTACCCATAATTCCACTTGAGCCTAGCTGCAAGAATTGAAAATGGTTGCAGCAACAAACCCTCCCAGGGACTGGACCCCTTCCGACAACTAAGCTCACTGGGTTCTCCCTAACCCAAAAGGCAAATGTCGGGGTGCTCTGGAGCCCTCACCTCTCCTTCCTCCTTTGCCGCGCTCTGCTTCCCCAGGAACTCCTCGGCCAGGAGCACGGCCCGTGCGCACGACTCCGGGCCCCGCGCCCTGACCCAGCCCTGCATCTCCCGGGGCAGGACGGCCAGGAACTGCTCCAGGACCAGCAGCTCCAGGATCTCGGCTTTCGTGTGCCTCTCGATCTTCAGCCACTGGCGGCAGAGCTCCCGCAGCTGGCCGTACACGACCCTCGGCCCTTCCGCGTCCCCGTAGCGGAGCTGCCGGAAGTGCTGGCGCTGCCTCTCCCTCAGGGCGGCCTCCCTGTCCAGGACAGCCGCCTTCACCTTGCCATAGTCGCCCCTCTCGCGGGCACTGAGGCTGCGGAAGGCCCGCTCAGCCTCTCCGCTGAGGGCCGGCAGGAGGAGGGCCACCCACTTGTCCCGGGGCCACCGGCAGGCGGCCGCCACCTGCTCGAAGGAGGCCAGGAAGGCCTTCGCGTCATCCCAGGGCCGGGGCTCCTCGGACGCCGACGCCTCCCCCCACCTGGAGTGCGGGGCCTGCAGCGTCCGCAGGAACGCCTGCCACTGGGCTTCCCAGCGCTCCTGCAGCCCCTCCTGAGGCTCACATTTCACCTGCGGTGGGGATGCCTGTAATTCTCCAATATTGCCTGCGTGTACCCCTTGCGGGGCTTTTGCTCCCTCCAGGCCTGCCCACAGCTGGGCAGTGGAAGCAGCCATGTCCACCAGGGTCTCCATCGCTCAGTTCAAAGCCCAGGACAAGCATCCAGCACTCGAGGGAATTCACCGCCTTCAGTCCATGTTTCTCCTGCTGAATGCCAGCTCTCTAAGCAGCAGCAGCTTGACTTCTCCAGAGTTTTAGAACCTAAGAGGAAAAAATAGGTAAGTAAGATTCAGAAGGGAATGCTTTAGCCCAACTAAAGCAACCAAAATTCATGCATCAGCAGAACCTGCAACTTCTTGACAGAATTGTTGTTGTTGTTGCTAGTTGAGAAGTTGCGTCCAGCCCATCGCAACCTCATGGACAACACTCCTCCAGGCCTTACTGTCCTCTGCCATCCCCCAGAGTTCACCTAAGCTCACGCTGACTGCTTCAGTGACTCCACCCAGCCACCTCCTCCTCTGCCGCCCCCTTCTTCTTTTGCCCTCAATTGCTCCCAGCATTAGGGTCTTCTTGATGGAATAGATATCCAGTTTCAAATAGCAGGGGGAAGAGAGGGATCTAAAACTCTCTGAATGGTCTAATCCAGAGTGGTCCATGGTGTGGCCCGCGGGCTGCATGCGGCCCCCAAGGCCTTGTTCTGCAGACCTCTTGCTGCTTGGACCCCCCTGTTCCCTCCCAGTCTGCTGGGGCATGCTGGGAGAAGCTCTCAGCCATGGCCACAGGCCACTGTCCCATCCTGCCCTGTTCTTGAGGTTCAGGAAGAGAGAAGGTTGGGCTGGGGGCCTTGCAAGGTCTCGCCCTGTGCCATTCAGGAGCTGAGCTGAGCTGAGCTGAGCTGAGCTGAGCTGAGCATGCTGGGAGAGTTCATTGGCTCTAGTGCAAGAGGCTCAGCATGCCAATTCCAAGAAGGAAGGAGGGCCGGGGGGTGGGAGGGGGTCACATGGGGGGTTCTGGGTGGGAGAAACAGGGAAGAAAGGGGTGGGCCACCTCAGAGGAGTGGTCATTCTGCTTGGGTTGTGGTCACAGGCCCACAAAGTGTTCTTCGTAGCAATTAAACCAAATAAATATATTGCAAGCATTTTAATTTATAATATGGGGTTTTAATTCACTGTGTGGTCCCCAGATTCCATGCCTAAGTTCTCATGCAGCCCCTGAAGTACAAAAAGTTGGACTGCTCTGACCTCATCCCAGGAAATAGCTCTGTGCTGATTAGCTAGAAATGTGTCAAATGCTTTTCTAAGTCATTCCTTACACAGTCCTTTGAACCACTGTCTTCAAAGTTGCTAGAAATAGTTAAAAACCAAAGTACTCCTTTTGGGCTTAAAATTATAATACAATGTAATAATAAAAGAACTATAAAACATATAAATAGAATTGATAATGTAATTCGCTCTTTAAAGAAAAATTACTGCTTTATGCCGCACTATGTGGACTAATGTTGACGCAAGTCTCACAGAACACAAAGCTTGCTCTTCTGGTGAACTTTTCAGGGCCCTTTTAAAAAGCATAATAAGTTTCTTTTGGAGAAGAAATCTAGAAATTAGGAGGTACCTTTTTTGAGGAGGCGGAAACTTTGCCTGAAATACTGTTCAGGCCTTCAGATTTAAAATCAATTTCCGAAGAATGTGGTTGTTTAGGAAAAGTCCCCCCCGCCCCCCGCCGCACCTACTGTAAAAACATGCCTTGAAATGCCACCATCTATTTTTCTGCTGGCCTTTTGTCCCTGTAACAGCCACACGGGGGCAGAAATTAAACAGATGATTCTCCAACATGCCTAGCACACAGATTCAGTACAGTGGTACCTTGGCTCACGAACTTAATCCGTTCCAGGACTCTGGTCATGACCCAAATTGGTCGTGAGCCAAGTCAAATTTCCCCATGAGGTTCAATGTAAATAAGGTTAATCCGTTCTGTAACTATTTTTTTTAATCAGAAAAATGTGAAGCAAAGTGACAAGGAACAACAAAGATCGTGGCCATCTCCCCCCACCCCTGAGCAGGAGCAGGCCATCTCCCCCCCCCCCCCCCCCCCCCCCCCCAACCCCGACCCCACCCCCCCCCCCCTTTCGGGGGGGGGGGGGGAGATGGCCGCGATTGTGCTCATTCAGAAGATGGGGATCTGTTCAACCGTCCACTAACTAAAGCCGAAACCACGGCTAAAGGCACAGTTGTTGGTTAAGTCCAAATACTGGCAAACTTTATATATACACACACTTGAATTTCTTTAAGATTTGGAGACAAGAATATTATCATCACCACTGCATTACAATAATATCTTGCCTTTCTTTTTCTTGCAAGGAATCAAAGGAGCTTACAAGGTCCTCCTCCTCTTGCAACAACAGCCCTATGAGGTAGGCCAGGCTGAAAGTTTGTGCAAGGCCCAAAGTCACCCAGTGAACTTCATGGCTAAGTGGGGACTAGAACCCAGTCTCAGTTCAGCACTTTAACCACCACACTGGCTCACCAAGCTGTAGAGAGATCGGGTGAAGGGAGAACAATGTTGCAGAAACTAGGAAATTACTCCATGGATGGACTGAGTACTAAGTCACACAAGCAGAAACTGTCCAGTGTGACGTAGTTGTCAGGGACTCTCAGCCTAACTTACCTCACAGGGTTGTTGTGTGGGCCAAATGGAGAGGAGGTGAAGGAGAAAGAGGCGACCTGAGCTGGGTTCCTTGAAAGAAGAGTAAAAGGTGGCATATCAATGTAGCGATCCTTACCAAATTAACAATTGCCTCCCCTTCTGGACAACAGCCCTTTCTCTCACCTGCGCCCCGCAGACCTGGCGCTGCACGACCAGCTGACCGCCCTTCAAGCACCTGCGGTTTGGTTTGCCGCATCCCCAAATACACTCAAGAGAATCGGTCTCCTGCAGAGGTAAAGCAGAGGAAGGGCAGGAAGTGGGTTGTCCGATCTATTCACAGCAAAGAGGCACAGGAAAAAACTAGAGGGTCCGCAGAAGCCCCCTTTCAGGTTCTCCTCTGGGTGCTCCGTTAGAAGAAAAAACGCTGTACCTGTTGAATAGCTCCCCACCATGCAGCCTTTAAAGACAAAGGAGCTTTTCCTTTCCTTCGGGTCACTCCGTCCCTTCGTAATTTATGTTCTGCTTTTGGAGTGATGGAGGACAGAATGACAGAACTCCAACTCCTAATCATTTTAAATCATACTATAAACACTATGCTAAAATCATTTTTATTTCACAGGTAATATTTTGAGTAACATATTTTTTCAGGTTATATTTTCAGGATATATTTTAATTTCATGTATCAGTGAATGTGGAGCCGTGTTAAAAATTCACAATGGCAAAAAAGTGTCAACAAAATCATGCTTTTTGAACACTTTACAACAACAGCAGATGGGAAATTTAATGTGTATCAGTGTATTAGGTTTGAAGGCAGTTGAGTACCTCCAAGCAGGTTGAGTGCTTTCAATCAATATAGGAAATAATTAGTATATACCTATATTGACATACAAATTAAGGAGTCGGAATTGGAGTTGAAGGTACTATTAAGTTTATAGTCAGAGTTGAAGGTTTTCTGTACCAGCTCCACAACCCTGCTTTTCCCGCCTTTGGTTCTGTGTGCCAGAGCCCTGGAGTTTTCTGTGTCTAACACTGCCCCAGAAAAACACATTTCTGTGCTCAACATTCTCTCTAACAGGTTGCAAGTAATCTTCCTCTTCCTCCTCTTCTTTCCCCTCTGACAACAGTTTTCATTTATCATTTACCCCAGCCTATGTCTATAGATATATTTGCCAGTTTGTGGTTAATACATCATGCAGCTGATGAAGTGGACATGAGAATGTGGACGTTTATGCCAGAATAAATATTAATTTTCCTGATACTGCAAGCCTGCTTTGCTCTAACAATAAGTAAATTATACAAGTCTGAAGGATGCCTTATAATTATTGCTGTACTTCCACTCACACCACAACTGGGAACCGGAATTCTTTGCCTCTGGAAACTGCAGCCCTTGATGCTTTTGAGGGCCGGCTCCCTTGCTTGCTTTTCCTGGACTTTCTAGGAATTAGAGCAAAATCAGTGGTTTTAACCTTTTTGATGTGGGATGTGGTTTATTTATGTATTTTTGAGAGGACAGTTGCTTTAAGTTCTCGGTGTGACTAACACTATGAAAATGAATAGAGTAACCTCAGTTACGTTGAGATGTGCCATCAAATCATCTCTGACTTATGGCAGCCTTATGAATGAAAGCCCTTCAGAATTCAAAGTAATTCTGGAAGCAGGTGTGAATGCCCCAAAGCATGGAAAGGGCTATTTTTTAAAACAGAGTTCTAAACTGAAAACCAACGCTTGCATGCTGCTGTTAAAAAAAAAAAAAAGGAAATAAAAGGCCAAGGAAAAAGAAAAGTCCTTTACCTGGTGCTGAAAAGCCAGGAACAGGGAGATCTGTGGAAGCTGCTAAATTGTGCAGTGTGTGCTAAAGATTCCTCTAAAGCAGTGATTCCAAAAGTGGGCAGCAGCACCCCACTGGGAGGGGTGGAAAGATGGGGGGGGTTCTTTTACATTCGCAGTAAAGCAAGAGAACTCATTACAAAGAGGAGATGTGGGGGTGCTGGGTTGTTGCCCAAGAGGAAAGGAGGTGGCAGCCCAGCAAGTCTTTACTCGGCCACTTTGTCACGGGGGGGGGGGGGGGCGAACCACCTTCCTCCTGGTTTACAGCCAGCCAGAGGCACTGACCCCTTGCGCCACGGAGACCTGAGGACAGCTGCTGCTCTGCCCCATTGGCCTGAGGTTCCCTGGCCCAGGATGGTTTGCTGACAAAGGGACAGAAAGAAATGCACCGGCTTCCCCTCCCGGTCTCTACGACTGGCACCAGAGGGCCGTGGGTCAAAACCATCCCCTGCTCGGAGGCTGCGCCCTTTTCCGTGCCTCCAGCAGCCCAGAAAGAAAAGAGGTCCCTTCCTGCCCCGGTCTGGAGGAACGGGGCTCAGAACTTGCAACGATGCAGACCCCTGGTTTTTTTAATCTACATACGGACGCACCCGCCCACCCAGGAATAAGCACACCATGCCCCCCCTCCCACTCACACTCCCATCGCCTGCCTGAGGGCCCTTCC